CAACGGGGGAAGGATTTGTTGACGCTGAAGTCAGGATTTATCCTTACCCCGTTGGGTAAGTGATATCTCACAGACAGCCAGCCAGTCAGCATCTCCTCCCCGTTTGGGCCTTGGGCGGATATTTTTTAAGGTTAATTTACTTAGTAAATTAGTTTTGGTTAGGTAGTTCATAATCTTTACTTTTTGGCTTGCGGATAGAAGTCCAAAACCTCCTTGTTGGTTATCCATTTTTTATACTTAAACACTAAATCTTTACCCAAGATAGCTAATTTAGTGATTTGAGTTCATTTATCCTCGGTTAGGTTTTCCCGGTAGGCTTTGAGGATTTCTTTACTGGTTAGTTTTAAATTATAGGCAATTTCTCCTTTTCTTTTGCCCGCTTTGCGGGGTCTTTCGGAAATTTCTTGGACACAGCCAAATAAAGAATGGACGGTGTGGTTTTGGCTTTCGTTAGCTTGATAGTAAGAGCTTATTTTTTTAGTGAGTTCGAATAAAAGGTTAGTTTGGATTTGGTTAGTGGGTGAGCCTAGTTTTTTAATTAAGGTTTGTTCGATTTGTTCGCGGCTGGTTATTTGCTGGCTTTCTAGGGCGGTTCAAAAGTTCATATAAACCTTTTTAAGCGTGGGGTTTCTTAACGGTGAGCTTGTTTTTCTGACATAGTCAAAAGGGGTTTTTGGCCTCGTTGGCTAGCTCGTTGGTTGGTGAAAACTCTTCCCGGTTTGGTTCGCTTTTTTATTTTTATTTTTTTGTTATTAGCATAACTGGCAAAAATAAACCCTTTACCAGTTCGTATGTTTAAAAAAAGAAAACTATATAAAAGAAAAAAAGGCTAGGGTGGGAAGCCCAGCCAAGGTTTATTTATTTATAAATAAGTAGGCTTTTTTATTTTTGCCTATGTCAGAAAAAAATGAGCTAAAAAAAGATTATTCTTCTCCTGTTTGAATTCCAGCAAAAATCAAGGCTATACTAAGCCTGCTAAATCTTGCCCAAGCACGGGTAATTCTCCCTTTTGCGATAAAAACTCTTCAACCGAATGTTTTCAGCTTACCATACTATCACCATCTTTCAGGCTCCATTCATAGAGGCTCGATTGTTTTCGCTCTACTTGGCCAATGGTTTTTATCTCCTTGTTTAAGGTTGGAGGTTTTTTTATTCCCTCCTGGAAGCCCAGAAACCAAACGACAATCACCTCCACTAGTTTCTAGGCTCCGAGCAAGGAATAATAGGGGCTTGGTCGGTGCTGATTTGTTTAAGGTCTAATCAGAAAGACCGTGAATTATTCCCGTTTTGAGTTTAAGGCTTTTACATCCTCAACATTGGTTATAAAACTCTTTCTTGTTTCAGCATCAATCACAATAAAAAGGTGTAGCAGGTTTAACTTGGCTGCGGGGACATTCTAGGTTAGAACAAAGGGCAGCATGAAAGAACTCTCATTTGAGGGGCTTTCTTTTACACGGGTAGCATTTAGGGATTCAGGTGAGGTTAAGCATGATTTCCTCCTATTTTTCCTTGACCTTGATAAATAGTTCAATGGTAGACATTACAAGCATAACGGTTAGGTAAACGGATGCTTAAAGTGTCTTTTATTTTTTCTCGGCTACAAAAAGCATGGACGGTTTCTTTGATACCTTTTTGCTGGCAAGGATAGCATCAGGGTTTTTTAACTGAATAATAATCTGACCATAATTTGCTTGCGGTTGTAGACATTTTATTTTCGGGTAGGCTTGCGGTTGTAGACATTGGGGGTTGGTCTACAACTTTTGGCCTGTCTACAACCTCGGACGAATTGTCTACAACTTTTAAAGGGGTGGTTGTAGACATTTTTAATTTGGCTCTTTCTTCCCTTTTCTTGTGAGTTAAATATTCTTTTCGTTTTTGGTTGTATTCCTTTCAGTAGGCTTTATCTTTGGGCATGCTTTCCTCCTTCCTCCGCTTGATAACTAGCCCATAAACAATAAGAACACCATTGATTAAGGGAATGAGGTTTTTTATATTTCAAACGAAGGGGGCAAATTTGGTTAAACTTATTCATGCTTCCCTCCTTTTTCTTTTCATAGATAATAGACTAAATAAGCTTCTAATTGGTGAAGGCTTATTTTCTTGCCTTTAAACATTCAGCCTTTACCGCGACCCGGTTTAAATTCAATCTCGGCTAACTTTTTAGTTCCCTTAAATAATTGCTGGCTTAACTCTTTGACTTGGTGGACGGGTAGGCTTTCAATTTGGTCGAGAGGTAAACATTCTAGGGCTCCTAATAGTTTCAATAAGCCGGTCATGTCTTTGCCGCGCGAATTAATGTAATTGGTATGCTCGTAAAGTAGGATCGAGGGCTGGAAGGTTTTGTTTAACTGGGCCAGGTAAGTTAAATGCTCTTTTCAAGCTTTACTCTTAAATTCTTTAAAGGTTATTTTAGAGCCGTTGATTAGGCAAATTCCCGTAGTTCCCGTTCCCGAGGGGTCGAGAGAAAGTATTTTAAGCATAATTACTCCTTTCTTGGGGTTTTCATAGCCGACTATAATCCCCATAAGCATAATCAAAATCGTTATGAATATAGCCTTCGGTAGTTTGGACGCTGCTGTGTCCTAGTAAGCGCTGAATAGTCATTAATTGGGCGCCTTTTTGGTAGAGGAGGGTGGCAAAGGAACGCCGGAAGGTGTGCGGGGTTATTTTTTTCTTAATTTGAGCTTGTTGAGTGCGTTTTTTAAGTAATCAGCGAATGTATTCGGCTTTAATTGGTCTTCCGCGAGTATTAAGAAAGAGATAGTCAGGCTTACGGGGGTCTAAATGCTTAATGAGGAATTCGGGCAAGAAAATGTAACGAACTTTATTGCCTTTGCCGTGGACTTTTAATTGGTTAGCTTGTCAGTCGGCATGTTTTAGGTGGACTAGTTCGTTAATTCGCACTCCCGAATAAAAGAGAAAGTCCAAGAGCAGGTTATTCCTTTGGTAGATGGTGGGGCTTCTTTCTACTTGGGTTTGCTTTAAAATGGTTAATTCTTGTTCGTTGATGGTCGCAAAGAACTTCTTTTGGACTTGGGGGATTAAGCGGGCGATTTTTTCTCACTCTATTTTTAGCTGCTTGAATTTTAGGTAGGAATTTAGGGCGTATTTTTGGACTTTGAGGGTGGTGGGAGCATACCTTTGCAGGTTAGTTCGGAAGTATGCTTTTACTCCGGGGGTGGTGAATTCTTGCTTAAATTTGCCGAGGGTGTCTAGGTAGGAGCGAATAGTGTTCGTAGCCAGGTTTTTATCTTGTAGTCATTCGGTATATTCGGGGTGTTTATTCATAAGGTTTGCTTGGGGCTGATGGCCTCTTTGAGCTCAATAGTTAGTTCAGTTCATTAGTCGCTTTCCTCCTGGCGGGCTTGCTCTTTGGCTAAGTGAAGGATAATATGCTCCTGGTAATGTTGGCTTAAAATTGCTTCTCATTGCTCGGAACAAGCCGCCGAACAAGGGTTTTTTCGCTCGTGGATTTCTAATAAGCGGTAGGTAGCCAGGCAAGTTGGGCAAACTAGTTCGAGCTGTTTTTGGACTTTATTCACTTAACTCCTCCCAATCTACTAAATGATAAAAACCGCGCAGATTATGGCATAAAAAGCGGTATTTTTGGCGTAAGTATTGCTTTTTTTCGATGATTGCTCAGATTTGGGGGTTAGTTAGTTTATCCTTAAAAACTTGAATGGTTTTTTTCTGGTTTTCTAAGTTGACGGTTAGACTATAAAATAAATTGCCGGCATATTTGCTTTGTGGGGAGGCTTTTTTAAGGGTGCGGCCGGTGATAGTGCCGGTTAGTGGGTAAAGGTGTTGGATGCGGGTTTTAGTCATTTGGGCTCCTTTCGCAAGTTTCACAATGCCGCTTAAATAGTTGGTTAATAGGCTTTTCTTGGTGGCATTGGGGGCAGTCTTTGTTGATTATTCAAAAAGCGAGGATAATGAGGAGAAGAGTATTAAAGAGAGTGAGAATTAAGGTTAACGGATTATTCACGGTTGACCTCCTTTTTTGGTTTTAAACAATCTTCGCAAAGGTAAATTCCGGTTGTTGGGTCGTATTTTCAAGCTTGGTTAGTTTCTAATTTGACAGCTTTTCCACAATTGGCACAAGAAGGTGGGCTGAAGGGTTGTTCGGGTTTTTCTTCTTCTTTTCCGTTTATGGCTAAATGGGCGGTATCTAAAATTACTCTTAATAAGGTTCTTAAATGGGTGTTTTCTTGCTTTAATTGGGTGATTTGGGCTTGGAGTTGAGCTTGGGTTTTTAAGTTTCTAGGCATGGGAAGGCTCCTTTTCGGTAATTCGACCGTCTTTTAAGCATACCGAGATAACTTTTTGACCTTTTTGCTCGCTAAATAAAAAAGGATTTAAGAAGCTGATTTCTTGGCGGGCAATTCGCTCGCCTAGAATTCTTAAAAGTTGTTGGTTAGTTAAGGAGTTAGGGGCTTGATTGGCTAAGTCTAAGGCATTTTGGAGGATATTAGCTTGGCTTTTTTCTCAGTCTTGGTTCATTATAAATTGCCCCTCCATTGCTTATATTCTTGCGAGAGTTTTCAGTCGGCTCCGTATTTGGCTTTTAGTTCATTTTCTCGCTTTTGGTCGCGTTCTTGGTGACGCTTTTGGATTTGCTCGGCCGTTTCTTGTTGACCGTTTTTAAGCCGATTAGCGTGTTCGTGGGGTTTGGTTATGTCCGGGTCTAGTTCGTCGGTGGTGGGGATAAGGAAGAATTTAGTTAAGAAGTATTTAATGGCGTAAGTTTCCGCACAGCCTTTGGCTTTGGCCGGGTCGGAATTAGAGCCGATAGCCCAAAAGTTAAAGGTTAGCTGTTCGTCGGGTTTTTCGCAGTTAGTGAGGATGGCTTGCTTTAAATACTCGACCACCCATTCTTTTTCTCCGTCTTTTTTTCGGGTCTCAAAATAACGGTCTTTTTCATCGCTAAAAGTTAAAGTTAGCTTTTGCTCGGCTAATAAGGGTTTAAGAATATTTAAAGCTTGTTGTTCGGTGAAGTATTTATAGTTTTGGAATTTATTGAGTTCCGTGCGGCTAATTTGCCCGGTTTGGGCTTGAACTTGGTGAAGCTTTTGATAAATGTTAAGCATTTTATCCATGCTTAACCTCCTTTTTATTTAGCCGTTGAGTTGCGTGCACGGCAAACTGCCCGCCTTGGTTAAGGGTTGGCTCGCTAATAAGAAGCCTGGTTTGGTTTAATTTCATAGCTTTTTTATAGATAAAATGAAGCTAAAAAAAAGTTCTGATTATAAAAA